CTCCCTCCCTCCCTCCCTCCCTCCTTCCTTCCTTCCTTCCTTCCTTCTAGCACTGATGATGTTTCCTAGTTGGGTCATGAAATGTCTGTAAGAAAATCAAGCTCAGAGAGCACCAAGGACCCCACAATTCTCCTCCTCCCCCTTCCCCTTCCTCCTCCTCCTCCTCCTCCTCTTCCTCCTTACCTTCCTTTTAGCACCGATGAGGTTACCTGGGTGAGTCATGAAATGTCTGCAAGGAGACCACCAAGCTCAGAGAGCACCGAGGACCCTTCAGTAGTCCTCCTCCTCCTCCTTGCCACAAACGCCCCTCCCTTCCAGCACTGATGATATTACCTAGTTAGGTGATGAAACCTCTGGAAGAAAGCCACCGAGCTCCAAGACCACCAAGAACCCCCACAGTCCAACCCTGAGCAAGAAATATTCTCTTCTATTAATTCCTTTTTAAAATGTCCCACTCCTAGAGCAACCTGGGAACCCCCCCACACACACACAATTCTGCACATGCAATCCAATCCCCTGCTTCACGTTTTCACACCTGTCCTTGTCACGATAGGAAAATTCAGTAGCATCTTTCCCCTCCTGAGGCCTGTCACACCATTTCAAGATGTCAGACGGCCTGTTTAAAATGCTGGATGCTTCAGAAAGAAGGAACTTATATCATTTGCAGACAGAAGCATTTGCTGGGGAGGGGGCAAAAGAGCCTTTCATAGGAGCCCCCCCCTTCAGATAATCCTATTTGCAGAGCTGAGGTTGGGCGGGGGGGGTAACATTCCTCCGCACATCCCCCCTCCCGCTTTATTATATCGTTCCATCTGCTTATTTGATGCGGTCTCTGGAAAGCACCCAAGATCGATTGCAGTCTTTAGCCAAACAAACCATAGGAAATGATTGGTGAAAGTGACAGGTCTAGATTTTTATTGGAGAATTACCTGTCAGGAAAGGGCCTTGCTTTCCTTTGAAATTTTTTTCCTGTCTAAATTTATACCGCCACAGAAGACCCAATTAAGACATTCTGCTGGTTTTGTTTTTGCTTTTGAAGTACTCATAAAGAACTACGCAACTAAAAGGAGGGTGTATCTGTTTTCCCAAATTCATAATCATTGGGTTAGATCAAAAGAACCAGGAGACGATTTAATTCTAAAAAGTTGCAACGGCGAAAGGAAGAACAAACTCAAACCCAGTCCAAGTTCTATTTAAAGTTTGCGAAATGATGAAATGGGTTTTCTGAGTATTTTGGTCTTCAAATGTTCCTGTGGGGATTTAGCTCTTGCATTTCTCCCGTCATGCCAATCACTTGGTTAGGTAGGTATCCAAAAATACATTTTCTTAAAAGAATACAGGGAAGTCCTCGACTTACAACCACAAGAGGGGAACCAGCATTTCCATTGTTAAGCAAGGTGCTTGTCACACGAGTCGTTCCCGGTTTACAACATCTTTTTTTGCCACCGTTGTTAAGGGAATCATGGTAGTTGTTAATTGAATCATGCAGTCGTTAAGCGAGTCCGGTTTCCCGCTTTGAAGCCCCCTTGGGAAGGTCGCAAATGGTGAGCAACCATCGTGATTACATGTTGGTTGCTAAGTGCCCAAATTTTGAATATGTGGGGATGCTGCAATGGTTGTGTTGGAAGGAAAATCCATCTGGTGGCATTCAGCAGGTTCTGACCAGTTCTGGAGAACCGGTAGCAGAAATTTTGAGTAGTTTGGAGAACCGGCAATTATCACCTCTGACTGGCCCTGCCCCCATCTCTTCTCTGCCTCCTGAGTCCCAGCTGATCGGCTGGGTTGTCTTTGGTTGCCCTGCACAGGAGAACGGAGCTGGAAAGCAGGTTAGTGGGGTGAGGATGGAATGGGGATTTTGCAGTATCCTTCCCTTGCCATGCCCACCAAACCACACCCACCAAGCCATGCCCACAGAACCGGTAGTAAAAAAAATTTGAATCACACCATTGATCTGGTTTAGGTCCAAGCCAGGAATAAAACAAAATGGAGGCTGATTGGAAAGAAAGTTTAATGATGAACCAACCAGCAGTTCTGAGTCAGCTGAACAAATGGTTGAATGAGTGGATGGATCTTATAGGATTCCGTGAGTTGGAAGTGTGAACTGTTCTGGAGGGATGGTGCAATGTAGAGAGCTCTGTGTCTTCTGCTAAATGGTAGCGGGTTAATCCTATTATGTCCTAAAAGGTTGTGTCCTGTTCTTCGAATTTGGGTGGAGGAGAATGTAAATTTGAATCCCATCCTTGAAGTTCTTTTGTTTTGCAAATAGCCTGACCCAGTGGTGGGATTCACATTTTTTTACTATTGAGTCTGTGGGCATGGCTTGGTGGGTGTGGCAGGGCAAGGATCCTGCAAAATTCCCTCCCCACCCCACTAACCTGCTTTCCAGCTCCGTTCTCCTGTGCAGGGCAACAAAAGGAGACCCAGCCGATCAGCTGGGACTCAATGGGAGGCAGAGAATAGATGGGGCAGGGCCAACCAGAGGTGGTATTTACCGGTTCTCCCAACTACTCAAAGTTTCTGCTACCTGTTCTCCAGAACCTGTCAGAACCTGCTGGATACCACCTCTGGGCTGACCCAATCTTTCTTAATGGGCACAAAATATCTGCTGGGGGCTATTAAGAACGACTGAGTTTGCCTCCTGTCTTGAAGAGCATGTCTCCATTTCTCTTTTAGGGAAATATAATATTCTGCCTCCTGGTATTTCTCCCAAATATTTCATTCTTTGGAGGGGAGCTTCCCACAGTCTTAAATGCGAGCACAGGCCATAAATCCTTTCTTTTGATGCTTTTGCAACTTTGAAAGGTCGGTAAATGAATGGGTTGCAATTCGAGGATTAACTCTAACCATTTTAATTTTTTTCCCCAGTTTAATTTTTATAATAACTGGAAATGCAGCTGATTCTCTTTGTTTTTTTTCCCCACAGATATCTGTTCCTGGAAACTTGGCATCTTCCGTTTTGCCTGGTTTGAAAGAAAATACCGAATATAAAATATCCATCTGGGCATACTACAAGGACGGAGCCCAGAGTGATACCATTTCCATTTGGCACAGAATCTGTAAGTGAGCAAGGGAGATACAGCGCCTATAATCTGAACAGCTGGGGTTTGGCTTGTTGTTTAAAGTTGTTAGATGCCACAAAACCATGCCGTGAAAATACTCTTATTAGTCCTTGTGTTATGGCCACAATGGATCTGCCAATTACGGTTGTAAACTATAATTTTTGTAAAACAATTTTCCAAGTTTTTTTTTTTTTTTGCAGTGGTCATTACATGAAGAGGGCAGTTGTAAAATGAACACCGCTGTCATTAAGGGAACATGGTGGTCATTAAGCGAACCCATTGTTGATTCTGCTGTGGTTTTGCCCAAAGGCAGAAGTAAATACCAGTTTTGGGCAAAAATGTTATAAATCAGGGGTGTCCAACCTTGGCAACTTTAAGACTTGTGGACTTCAACTCCCAGAATCCTCAGCCAGAAAAGCTGGCTGAGGAATTCTGGGAGTGCCAAGATTGGACACCCCTGTTATAAATCATGGGTATGTGACCGTGGGATGTTGCAAATGGCTGTAAATGCAGCCATGTTGAAAAAGCATGAAGTGCAGTCACGTGAACACCTGAATGGGCAGAGCTACCATTGAAACTTCAGATCTGGGTTGTAAGTCTCCTTTCTCAGGTAGATTGTAACTTCAAATGGTTGCTAAGCAACCGGTCATAAGTTGGAGACTATCTGTATCAAAATGAAAGTTATAGGTAGCTCTTGACTTATGATCACAACTGAGCCCAAAATTTCTGTTACTAAACAATACAGTTGTTCGGGGAGTGAAATCCAGAGTCAAAGTTTCATTTTTTCCCAAAACCCAAGCACAAAGTCCAGATAGCGGTTTCCAAGAAGAAAGAAAGTTGGATATATTCTTTTCTTTGATTAAAGCCATCTCTGCTACTTCCATCAATTTTTCCAGCCATTCATCCTTTTTGGGCATAAAACATTATTGTTGCTGTCAACCTACAGAACAGCAAAGTTCCAGAATAATAGCATAATCTTCTCTCTGCCTCTCTGTCTCATACAAAACAGAATCAAGGTGGAGTTTTTTTTAGGGTTTTTTCTTTTGCTTTTCACTTTAACAGAATAACAAAATATCAGAGATCAAAGGGACCTTGGATTTCTTCTAGTTCAACTGCCTGTTCAAGCAGGAAATCCTATACTATTTCAGACAAATTATTGTCCAATCTCTTCTTAAAAACTTCCAGTGTTGAAGCACTCACAGCTTCTGGAGTCAAGCTGTTCCATTGGTTTATTGTTCTCACTGTGGAGAGATTTCTACTTAGTTCTAAGTTGTTTCTCTCCTTGGCTAGTTTCCACCCATTGATTCTGGTCCTGCCTTCAGGTGCTTTGGAGAATAGCCTGATCCCCTCTTCTTTGTGGAAACAAACATTGGAAGAATGCTATCATGTCTCCCCTAGTCCTTCTTTTCATTAGACTAGACATACCCACTTCCTGCAACTGTTCTTTATATGTTTTAGCCTCCAGGCCCTTAATCATCATTGTTATTCTTCTCTGCATTCTTTCTAGAGTCTCAACATCTTTTTTATATCATGGCGACCAAAACGGGATTATTGCAGTATACCAAGTGTGGCCTTACCAATGCATTATAGAATGGTATTAACATTTTACATGATCTTACTTCTATCCCCAACTTAGCTGGCATTTCATCTTCTTTAATGGGTCCTTCATCCTAAGGTCATCTCTACATTCTTTTACAGCTGTCAGGAAATCGGACTTGATGATATCTCTGGGCTTCTCCAACCCTTATACATTCCTATGGTTCATTCTGTGAATCTATGGGAATTCTCTTCTGCTTACATATGCTGCAGATGCAACTCCGATTTAAAAGCTGCTTTAATTTACTGTGCCGTTAATCCTGAGAAAAGCAATTTCTCTGCATTTCTTCCACACTGTGTTGGGACCAAAGTATTGTTCCTCCAGAGTGCTCAAGAGCCAAAGATACATCTGGGAGATTATTATGTAGGGTACGAAGTTATTGATAGCTACTAAAGGAGAATATTTGTACCTCTGGGTTGAAATGAGGGGTCCTTGGTGTTCTCTGAGCTTGGTTGTTTCCCCTTGGAGATGTTTCATTACCCAACTAGGGAACATCATCAGTATTAGTAAGGAGTGAGGTTTGATCTCAGTTTATATTCTAGTAGCTTGCCCTTGGGGTGGTCTTAGAGGTTCTTTGGTTGGTCTGTTTACTATTGGCTTCTTTGGCAGTTCCTTGATTGGGGGTATTGTTTACTTGATTGTTGATCTTAGGTTAATCTTGGAGTTAATCTATTTATTTTTATTTTATTTATTTATTTGATTTTTCAATCGCTTACAAGATAATAGGAATAAGTATAAACACGAGTAAGAATACAGGAAATAGGTATGGATAAATGGGGACAATAGGACAGGGACAGTAGGCAAGATTGAAATGGGGTGAGGTCAATAGTGGATAGTTTAAGGTTAAAGGAGTGGGGGTTAGAGGATGTAACAACAGAGTCAGGTAGTGCATTCCAGGCATTGACAAACTTGGTTGCTGAAGTCGTACTTTCTGCAATCAAGTTTGGAGCGGTTAACACTGAGTTTGTATCTGTTGTGTGATCTTGTATTGTTGCGGTTGAACCTGAAGTAGTCATTGACTGGTAAGGACATGGTAGCAGATCATTTTGTGTACTACGCTTAAGGGCTGATTACAGGTAGGGAGGTGTTTTGGTCTTTTTGGTTTGTTGACTGTCTCTTTTGCATAGTATTGTTTATGTCTATGTGTCATTTGATGACTAATTTATCAGAGTACCAGACTTTCAGAAATTCCCTAGAATTTTTGGACTTGGCTTGGTTTAGGATGGTCACAGTTTCCCAGCTGACACTATGATTCAATCTGTCCGTATGTTGTGATATCAAAGAGTCTTCCTCATGTCTTTCAATCATGTCTTTCGTTGGTGTTCATGGACATGTTCTGTCAGTCTGCTGCCTCTTTTACAACCTTTCATGCCATGGCTGTTAAGCGAATCACTGCGATAGTTGAATTAGTAACATGGTTGAATCTGGCTTCCCTGTTGACTTTGCTTGTCAGACGTTCGCAAAAGGGGATCACGTGACCCCGGGACAATGCAGCCGTCATAAGTACATGCCAGTTGCGAAGCATCCAAATTATAATAAGTTGGAATGCTGCCACGTTCCTAATGATGAAAAATCAATCTAAGTCACTTTTTTCAGTGCCGTTATAACTTCGAATGGTTGTAAGTGTCAGGATTCCGGCAATCGCTCTAATTAAATCATGATTCTCGAGCCAAACTTCAAAAACTTTCAAAGGATTCATTAGAGGTGATATACTGGCACTGCCCTGTATGAAGCCAACTCTGACATATGTCATTTACAGTCCCCTGTGACCCTGTTTCCCCCCTCCTTCCCGGGTATCTCATCAACTAGATTCTCCAATTGAGACCATTCACAGGCTGGGGGTCATCATTCACGTTCTCCAATTAAATATATTCTCGGGCAAAAACTATGGTATTTTAGTTACAATCTTTTAAAGATAAGAGTTGGAATGTACTCCCGCTTTCAAACTGCTGCACTACTCTTCCAGATTTCCTTCCTCCCCCTTTTTATGGCAACTACTAAAACAGGCATAAGTAATGTTTTATGAGTTGACAGTAAGTCAGGGAAGTCACGGTTTGGGGGTCTATGGAGATTCTCAATCATCCAGGTCATGGTTGTCCCAAAGGTACTTTTTCTTTCAAAAGGAAACTGGACTTTTATTATTTTCCTTGAAGACATTTTGCTTCTAGTCCAAAAAGCGACTGTCAACCCTGAAGATGGCCGAATGTGGCCATTTTCTTTTTTGTAGTTTTCTCTAGGGAAGTTTATTTTCTCAGGGTTTCAAGGCTGACACAGTCTGAGTGAAGGGGCCAGGGAGGGGTGGTGGTGTAGAGATAGCTGGGGTATTGTAGCCAAAATAAAATTCTTTCCCCTGGGAATCAAGGACGTTGGTGCAGGTGTTCGAAGGGTGGAGACTGAGGTCACCTAGCAACTGCACTGTATGCTGATTGGACCATGTGACTGGAGACTCTGGGAGGAAGTGACAAAATTTTACTTTTAATTGGGTGTAAAACCGGCAGGAATTTAGAGCCAGTTTTCCATCAGGAACGTGCCAATTTGATATGTCTCAATCAAATGTTCTGTGAGGAAATTTCCTGCCTTGGACTTATTATTTAATGGGATCAGTGGTGGGAATCAATTTTTTTTTACTACCGGTTCTGTGAGCATAGCTTGGTGGGCGTGGCAGGGGAAGGATACTGCAGAATCCCATTCCCTCCCCACCCCACTAACCTGCTTTCCAGCTCTGTTCTCCTGTGCAGAGCAACAAAAGGAGACCCAGCCAATCAGCTGGGACTCCAGAGACAGAGAATAGATGGGGGCGGGGCCAGTCAGAGGTGGTATTTGCCGGTTTTCTGAACTACTCAAAATGTCTGCTACCGGTTCTCCAGAACTGGTCAGAACTTGCTGAATACCCACCTCTGAATGGGATGTATTACTTGGAACCTTGATAGCCTCTTCAGTTCTGACACAGTTCTTCAGTCAGAACTGAAGAAGCTTCTCGGATGAGAAGGGAAATGTCTTCAAGGAGAAAAGAAAGAAAAAGCAGCTTTGGGAATTCTGCTTGAGGCTAGTCAAAAGTGATTCTGGTTGCTCTCACCTGGCCATAGCGACGGAGCTACTTGCTCTGGATGGAATGACCGTTTTAAAGAGACTTTAACTTGCTATGACAAACACCTTGGTTGCAACGGCCCTTTGATCCTTGATCAGAGGGATACAAGCAGCTGAATGCGTCCAGAGGGTTGGCTTTACCCTTCACGAAAGGATTTTTGCAGAAATCAAAGGATAATTGCCAGCCAGCTTCCATCACACAGCAGAAACTGTTTCTTGTTTTTTATAAGGAGGTGAGGTTAGGAAATAGCCTTCCGTGACGCTTCTTTCTTAATTTATAGCGCCCAACTAATTGGTCTGCTGGCAGGACATG